TATTAATGTCGATCATGACATGGTCAATACTCAAGTAATTTATAATATAATATGACCTACCACTTCCCGTCTATTCAAACTTGTGATCAACTTACAGAAAATGATGCTTCAATGGCCCATGTAACATGCTGGATTCTGTCTCCTACGGTGGCAAATTGGTTAATTCTAGTTTCAGTTTCTTTTGTATATATAACTAATTCAGACAAAGCTTGATAAGATTAGCAAGGACTTTGAACTTATTTATTTTTTATTTGTGCAGTGTGATTCATTTGACATATGTCGAAGAATAAACCTTCATCCTATTCTAATAATTTACAATGCATTATATATAACCAAATGTAGAAGAGTGCACATGGAGAACTATTGGATAGAAACATAGGATAAAAAGAAATGGAATGTGTTGTTTGATGACTTGGACCACGTCCATTGATATTCCATTGCCGGCACCATTAATCTAATTATCTCTTATTTGCGTATTACTATGCTTTAATTATTTAGTTTATTAGTTGTATTCTCCAAAACATAAAATCTTACAAACCCCACTTTTGATTAGATGTATTAGTCAAAATTATATTTTTATAAAGTTTTTTAATACCTAATGTTTCTCATTCTTGTCATTCTGATTAATCAAAGGGTTTATGTCCTAATTCAGTTCAAACATATCTTACTTTTACTTAAAAAAACAAAACAAAACAGACACATAAAAGAGCAAACTGCCAAAACGTCAATTGGAAAAAAGGAAAATGGTGAAGAAACCAGAGTAATAAAATAAAAGAACAAAGAAAAAGGGTTAAGGGATACAAAAATTGTTTGCAAATGATTTTCGGATAGTAGAGATACAAAACATAAAATTATGATTATTTTCAAATTTAAAAGTTATTCAATATTTACATATATCATACATGATTATTATGAAACTGGGGTTTTTAAAAATAAAATGAAATATTTTATAAATTAGTAATTTAACAAGAAAAATATTGTTTCTATGGATAAAATATGTGTTATTATATTGTTATATCACACACAAGAGAGAATGATTTTTTTGTAGATTTGTAGTTGCTCAAAATGGAAATTAATGTCTATGCATAATTTATTTGATTGATTTTATATGTTAAGATATATGATTGATGAGAGCTCTATTACTGTTAAAAATGTGATATATATAACTAAATAAACTTGGTTTATTTTATTGTTATCAAATATTGATTCGAAGTTTAAAAATCCTTTTTGTGTAATATTATTAAAATTAATAAGGTAAATTTTAAAATTTAATAGGAGACTTCTTTTTATGTAAGAATGTTATGTTGTCTAATGATAAATTATTGTATAGTAAGAAGAGGGATACACATTTTAATATTAATTTGTTTCAATTATTGGATTTTATTTCATTTTTATAATAAATATTCAAAAGTATTCTACTGATAATATTGAACATTAAGTATACAAAATTACTATTACTATTGAAATCATGAATATAAAGTCATTTATGTCTAACTCGTCTTAATTTTCTTTTGAGATAAAAATTCTCAAATATTATTTATTACTTAAAATAAAAACATAAGAAATAATTCTCATAAAATTATATACAGCTAAAGTTTTCACACATACCTCACTTTGCGAAAAATTGAAAAATATTATAATATAAACTACTTTTTTTTAAGTTTATACTTGATATCAATATAAAACAAAATACATCCATTTTATTCTGATAATATAATAATATATTAATGATTTATATTAAAGAATAAATGAAATGTAATTAAAATATCAATATATTAAATTGTCTGAATGGTTGTATTTTTTTTTATAAGATATCAATATATTGTTCCTTCTTTTAGCTGTAAGTTATATGTATCATTTATGAATATTGCAAAGTAATCTTTATCTTTGATATTGGTAAGTAATTATAAATTATTTTTCTGTAAACATGATGTATAAGAGTATTGATTTTACTCGTGTTTTCTCATAAAATGTTTTATTTCCATATGTACATGTTGCTAACGTGAATTTTTTTTAATATTTAAATTTTAATTTATTAATCAGATAATTTAAAAACTTTTAAAATAAAAAAACATTTTTATAATAAATAAAAAGAATATTATAAATAAGGTTAAACTCATGTGAAAGTCCCTATTTTGTGGGATTGTCCCAATTACATTCCGTCTTTCAAGTTTTGTCAATTAAGTCCTTAATATTGAAAAATTGAATCAACTGGGTCTCTGCCATTAAACCAACTTAACGACGTTAAATTTTTGCTTACTTGTGAGGGTAACTGAGACAACCCCACGAAAATAAAGACCTACGAATAGATTTAACCTATAAATAAAGTAACATGAAGTCTTATGTAATCGAATGATTTTGTTAAAAACAAAAAATAAACAAAAATGGTGTTCAAAACACACTTTCTATTTAAATACTCACTTTGAAATAATTTTATAATTTTTAACGTTTTACCTATTTTTTAAGTTTTAATTAAAATATACCATTTTACTACATTTGTGAAATCCATACCACAATATATTTACTTTGAACAATTACTTAATATTTTTAAAAGAATTATGATTCGCATAGCATAATATTCCTGAAAGTTAAGTAAGGAAATAAGGAAATAGAACTTGCTTTAGTTTACTATCGACGACCAGTTATTGAATTCATATACATAAAGATTTTTTTTCTGCACTTAATCTAAAAATAGCATTGTATTATATGCTTAAATATTCTTCATATAAACCTTTTTAAATTATATTAAAATTATTTTTTACTATTTTTTACTATTTTTTACAATAAATAACCAAGTCTACAAAAATTGCTTAATTTCCATAAAACGAACAATGATTTTAAGGAATATTATAAAAATAAATAAATTAAGCATTCTAACTTCAAAAAGTAAAACTTAGAGAACTACATTAAAAAAAAAACTCATTTTCCTCTGTAAAATGATTTCATTGTTGAAAATTAAGAACCCGAAGAAATGATAAAAGACAATTTTAGAGATTCTTTAATACGACGTTATAAAATGAGTAGTTTTTTCTTAAATAAAATTGACTTTTTGTAAGAAACTTCAGTAAAATTTGAAGAAATAAATGAGTATACAATAGTATTTTAAAATTTCTATAAATGCAGTTAAAAAGACTTCATTTTTTCTTCATAAAAACGACTTCTTCACTTTGAAACTTTAGCAAAACCGGAAGAAATAAATGATGAAAGAATATCTTATAACTTCTTTGAATGTGCAATTAAAAACACTTATTTTTTCTTCATTTCATATAATGGGTTTTTTGAAATAAAACTTTGCACACACGAACGTTGTAAGTTATTATTTCAGGTTGACCGACATTCTTAAACTTCATTTAGTGTATTATGATGTTATTCTGCGTTCCTTTTCAATTATTAAGTTTTCACAAGATTTTTATATCCGTTGTTTTTAAGTTTAAAGCAATAATAATTGTTTTCTTATCAGTTACATCCTTACTTTTAATTTAATATTTAATGATTTATATGTATGCATTGAATTAAAAAAATTAAAATAAAAACCTGTCAGTTATTTGATCAGGAGTTAAAATTAGAAAAATTAGAGACAGAACATGTTTCATTGTACACGGAAGAAAGTATAAATTTATAATTTTGTCTCTGAAATTTAAATTAAGTTTGTTTTGTGATTTAGAGAAAGAAAAATTGAGTTAGAAGAGAGAGAAAAAGATTTAATGATATTAATTTAAGAGTGTAATGGAACGCGTACTAGAGATGAGTTAACGTATTAGAAATTAATGATAATAGAGGGAGTATTTAATAGGACCGCATTTCAGTGTTATGTTATGTGTTTGTGGTCAAAGAGAGTAAAGCGTAACTGTCAACTTCCCAATTAATTCCAATCAATTGTAATCAAAATGGTTGATCACCGTCCATTTCAACATGTCAAGATTCAACGTCCATTCAATACAAGCACAACATTAGTATCTATCAATCTATGTATCAAAATTTATGAGAAATGTAATATCTCAAGAAGCAAAGTGAGTATTGCCTCATAAAAAAACAGGCCCACATTTTCTTCACCTAGCCACACCCCAGATAGTGTGGACCAAAAACAACCCATCCCATGGTTCTCACAATCTTTAAACCTTGGCTAACCCATGGTTAAACTTTTAACCATTCCCAGATCTTATCTCACATCTGCCTCTAACCTATAACAAATCAGCGACAAAACATCATCTTTGTTTTATTTTCTCCTTTTGTTTTGCTTCCTTCCCATGCCAATACCAAACTACTTAGACAAAGAAAAAGAAAAAAGATTAAAGCCATCGTTGGCCCCTCTTGAATGCAACGTTTGCCTTCAAGCCGGTCGTATTACCAACTTTTCTTTCTTCTATTCTCTTCCCTTTTATCAATTAATTAATAAGTTGAAAATAAAAAGTTAATAAATTATACACACGGTGGACAGAAGCGCGTGGGATATGGTGGAAGCGGTGAAAACACCCTTGTAAAGTAAAAACTGAAAGGGAAGGAGATTTTGGACCAGACTCAGTGAGAGTGTTTTTTTTTTTTTAATGATTTTGAAGCTCGTGATGGTGTGATACATTAGAGTACATATTTAAACAACATGATACCTTGTTTGTTCTATTTATACTAAAAAAAAAAAACNTCCTTCCCATGCCAATACCAAACTACTTAGACAAAGAAAAAGAAAAAAGATTAAAGCCATCGTTGGCCCCTCTTGAATGCAACGTTTGCCTTCAAGCCGGTCGTATTACCAACTTTTCTTTCTTCTATTCTCTTCCCTTTTATCAATTAATTAATAAGTTGAAAATAAAAAGTTAATAAATTATACACACGGTGGACAGAAGCGCGTGGGATATGGTGGAAGCGGTGAAAACACCCTTGTAAAGTAAAAACTGAAAGGGAAGGAGATTTTGGACCAGACTCAGTGAGAGTGTTTTTTTTTTTTTAATGATTTTGAAGCTCGTGATGGTGTGATACATTAGAGTACATATTTAAACAACATGATACCTTGTTTGTTCTATTTATACTAAAAAAAAAAAACTATGGTACCTTCTACTCTTTCCCAAACTCCAGTCACACAATTCCCACCTCTCTTTTTCTTATGGTGTTTCGCCGGATAAACAGTGCCATATTTCCCTCCATTTACCTTCTGGTTTTGGCTAATTTGGATTCCTGAATCCCACCCAATGGCGCTGCTCTCAATTATCGTTTTCCTCCTCCAACTCAGTTATCATGTCAGAGTCAACTCGGAGCCGACTCAGGACAAGCAAGCCCTCCTTGCTTTCCTCTCCCAAACCCCACACTCCAACCGCCTCCAATGGAACGCTTCCGCTTCGGCATGCGACTGGGTGGGTGTCAAATGCGACGACTCCCGCTCCTTCGTCTACTCGCTCCGTTTGCCCGCCGTCGACCTCGTGGGTCCGGTTCCGTCCGCCACAATCGGTCGCCTCTCCCAGCTTCGGATCCTCAGTCTCCGCTCCAACGGTCTCACCGGCGAGATCCCTGCCGATTTCTCAAACCTCACCTTCCTCCGCAACCTCTACCTCCAGAAAAACCAGTTCTCCGGAGAGTTCCCTCCGAGTCTCACTCGCCTCACTCGTCTCACTCGCTTGGATCTCTCCTCCAACAACTTCACCGGTCAAATCCCTTTTTCCGTCAACAACTTAACCCACCTCACCGGCCTCTTCTTGGAGCACAACGGCTTCTCTGGGAAAATCCCCAGCATCACTGCCAAGCTCGTTCGCTTCAACGTTTCCTTCAACCGCCTCAACGGTTCCATTCCGGAGACGCTCTCCTCTTTCCCCGACTCCTCATTTGCAGGAAACGTAGATCTCTGTGGCCCGCCGTTGAAGGCCTGCAACCCCTTCTTCCCGGCTCCGGCGCCGTCTCCCTCCTCCAATTCGACCCCGACCAAGACGCGTAAGAAGTCCAAGAAGCTCTCCACGGGCGCCATTGTCGCAATCGTTGTCGGGTCCGTTCTCGTCGCGGCGTTGCTGCTGCTGCTGTTGCTGCTGTGCCTCCGGCGCCGGAGACGGCAGCCAGCGAAACCGCCGAAGCCTGTTGCTGCGGCACGTGCCGTGCCGGTGGAGGCGGGGACGTCGTCGTCGAAGGAGGATATCACCGGGGGTTCTGCGGAGGCGGAGAGGAACAAACTGGTGTTCTTTGAAGGGGGGATATACAGTTTCGATTTGGAGGATTTGTTGAGGGCTTCGGCGGAGGTGTTGGGAAAGGGCAGCGTGGGGACTTCGTACAAGGCGGTGCTTGAGGAAGGAACGACGGTGGTGGTGAAGAGGCTGAAGGATGTTGTGGTGTCAAAGAAAGAATTCGAGATGCAAATGGAAGTTCTGGGGAAGATAAAGCACGATAATGTGGTGCCTCTCAGAGCCTTTTACTTCTCCAAGGACGAGAAATTGCTCGTTTACGATTACATGTCTGCCGGCAGCTTGTCTGCTCTCCTTCACGGTACCATCTTCTTGTTCTTATCCAACACCTCCCCAATTCCTTTTCTGCTTGTTCATTTTTCTTTGCTGCTTAATTGTGTTCGTAGCTAATTATTGAACTCAAATGCAATGCAATTTGATTGTTACAGTTTAGGAACACCATATTTAGTTTGCTCTTGCCTTTCTGGCTTTTCCTTGTGTTCATACAGGAATTGAATATTCTCTGTTTGATAGAATTGGCATTGTTTGTTTTTTATGAGTATTTAATTTGGCTAAATTCCTACACCAGCTGTTGTAGTCGTGGAAGTTCATTATTTTATTTGAGGGTTCCGATATTTTATTAGTGTTGGTGCTGTTAGTGCCGTGAAGTGTGTGTTGGGTGATTAGCATATTTGCGAGAAGAGGCATGGGGGAGCTTTCTAAGTTGATAATGGAGGTAGGTTATACTTAGTAGTCTCTGTGTTATTTCTTGCTGCATTATGTATCAGTGGCATGTTAATTATATTAATTTACTAATGGGGAAAATAGTTTAATAGGAAGAGTGTTAATGTAAGTGTATCGTAAATGGGAAGTTTTGTGCAGCAGCGTAGAGTGCGCTTGTTTAATGCATGCTTCAGGAGCAAACATTCTCTACTCATGAGTGATATTGTCTTTCTTTAATTTTACCATTCTTTCATTTCCTATAAGCCAAGCAACATGCACTCATGGGATACCAGCGTGGCTCACCGACATTATTTCTGTCTTTCTTTTTTTCTTCCATTTTTTTTTGTCTCCTTTAAAAAGAGAAAAGATTGTAAAATAAAGTGTTCTATTTATTCCTCCTCCTCCCAACGAAGAAGAGAAAGGCATTTGGACCACGACCATGCTGCTTTTTGCTTTTGAAAGGGTTGTGTTGAGTCCAAGCAAAAGAAAAATCCCACAAACCACAACCTCCTTTCCTCCATGCTTGTGTCTTGAAACATTTAATTTTGGCGATTTGATGAAATTATTGCATGGTGATATGATACATGACTAAAACGGGAAATAAAGAGAGCATGATTATTATTAATAATTAATAATATTATATATATATATATGTATGTATTGTGTGTGTGTAATAGTATTATTATAGAAAGGGATTGGTGGAGTGGAGTGGATTGTTGATGACAATTACTTGACTAAGTACATTAGCACTGGTATTGATATTGCAGGGAGCAGAGGGTCTGGGAGAACACCGCTGGACTGGGACAGCAGAATGAAAATAGCAGTAGGAGCGGCACGGGGGTTGGCATGCCTCCACGTGGCAGGCAAGGTGGTCCACGGCAACATAAAATCTTCCAACATCCTCCTCCGAGGGCCGGACCACGATGCCGGCGTTTCGGACTTTGGTCTAAACCCCTTGTTCGGGAACGGAACCCCGTCGACCCGAGTGGCGGGTTACCGGGCACCCGAGGTGGTCGAAACTCGAAAGGTGAGCTTCAAGTCTGACGTGTACAGCTTTGGCGTCTTGCTGTTGGAGCTGCTGACGGGGAAAGCTCCGAACCAAGCGTCGCTTGGGGAAGAGGGCATCGACCTACCGAGGTGGGTCCAGTCGGTGGTGCGCGAAGAGTGGACCGCGGAGGTGTTCGACGCGGAGCTCATGAGGTATCACAACATCGAGGAAGAGATGGTACAGCTCTTGCAAATAGCCATGGCGTGTGTTGCGGTGGTGCCTGACCAGAGGCCCAGCATGCAGGAGGTGGTGCGCATGATCGAGGACATCAACCGGGGCGAGACCGACGACGGCTTGCGTCAGTCCTCCGATGACCCTTCTAAAGGATCCGAGGGTCACACTCCTCCCCCGGAGTCAAGGACGCCGAGGTCACTCACACCTTAACAAAAGTAATAAAGGCTTCTTGATTGAATGAAATTCAAAAAGAGGAAAGAAAGGACAGCACAAGGTGGTGGTGGGTCGCTCTTCAAAAAATATTGTCAATTATGCACTGTGCTTTCTTCCTTCCCTGGCCCCGTTCCTGTCTATTTTTCCCCCCTCTCAACGTGTTTCATTTCATTTTTTTCCCCTATTTTTCTTTTATTATTGATTTTTACAGGTGGGATTTTAAAATTGTTAATCAAGCTTTGACCTTTTCATCAGATTCTAAGTGCAATTTACCTCATTTCTTAATTTAAATTATTTATCACTGTCATCTTTTTGTCAAAATGGAGGAATATCTTTTTCATTTCGTCTTCACACTACTGTCGTATGATACAACGTCAGCAAGTGCGTTCTTTTTTTGACCCAGCGACGATAGCAGTTGTTACAGAATGATTGCAAAAATTATGTATCCACGTCAGTTGATTTGGATGACGCAGAGTGCAAAGGTAAACCAAAGAAGGCAGCTTTGGATGAAGAAGATTATGAATAAAATCAGCATTTGATCCGAATGAATGATGGATGGGAAATGGAGGAGGCGCGGTCGAGGAGTGGCGGTCCGAATTGATGTGTTAGGAACTCACATGGGCACCGGGATTGGTGGGAAAGAGAAATACAGTAAGCATGAGATAGTTACCCTCGATGTGTGGTGTGTCTATTTGTGAGGAAAAGGGTGGATAACAGCCTGGCCTTGTGGAGTGGGAGATAGTGTGTGTTGGCAGTTCTGACATATAAACAAGAGCCTTTGACCCAACCATGCATTCCGCTGTGGACCATTTTTGTTTTCCCTCACAATTTTCGTCTTTTTTTTTTTAAATAATCTTTTATCATCAATCACTGGTTACTTGGATCCATGAAAGGAAGAACTGTTTCTGTCCCTTGTTGAGTTTTCTGATTCCACTGTATGTAGGCAAGCAAACCGTACGCGCTGATGCCTCATACTTTGCTCCTTCGCTTTCCGTTCACATTCAGACCTACATCCAAAAATCCTTGTCCTTTTCTGGACGTGTAAATAATTGCATATACATTATGAATGAATTTAATGTTATTTTTATGTTTGTACTCTGTATGTAAACTGAGGTTTCTTCAGTTGTAAATTTCAAGCGAGTGAGGCTAGATTTGTTTTTATTGAAATTGGACTAAGTTCGCACAGTAACTTTAATATTTTCATTACAAAAGTCAAGACTTTCTTTATTGACATGGTTCTTGAGCGTCCCATATTTCACGAAAATTTGAACGGAGTTTCTATATCAGTTCTAGAAACTTCCCTACCACTATGTTATGTTACCTGTCACTCTATAGAGTCACATGCTTCCTTGGCGAACGCAGAATTTTGGTACAGGAAAGCAGATATCAACAAGGGTTTTGGTTGGGCGCAAGAAAACTTTACCTCTCCTTCTTTAGCTTTGGTTTGTTTCATATTGCCACGCCTTCGCTTTTATTGTGGTGGTTGTGATTTAAGACATAGAATACGTATGTCTAGTTTAATTTGTTGTAGTTCTCATGATAAATTATGGTCAAAAGAGAAGGTGTTATGCATAGGTTGTAGGCAATTGACACAGTCAATGGCATCCTTTGCCAGAGATCATACGTTAAATCTCCTATTCTCAACAACAAGTCTATGAAGGATTTTTGCACCATCCCCTTTGTTGAAAAAACAAGTTTAGACAGTTAACATGTAGTATAAAAATAAATTATTTTTCTTTTTATGGAAGTCCTTGGTCACCTTTTCATTAAATTATCATTCAAATTACAATCTCCAAATCGAATTGTCTGAGTTAAAATATTTTAATTAAGATGGTTAAGTCATGATGAATTAGGCCGGCGAAGAAAAAGTGGCATGCGAAATGGCCGATCACGAAACAGGGTAACAATAACAACTCAGAAAAGGAATATTTTAAAAATGATGAGAGACAGTGAAGAAAGGTCGCAATGCAACAAGTTAAATTAAATATACGTTAGAGAATCCCTGTGGTATTTGGGGGTTTGTCGAAGTTTATGGTATTATTTTTGCGTTTAATACAAGAAAAAAAGTACGTGTATTGATAAAGTGAGAGACTTGCCTCGAGAATTTGGATTCTATAAAAAGAAAAAGCCATTGGTACGATGGATAATGGGAGCTTGGCATCACAGCATTGGATGCACACTTGATGCTGTGATCCACTTCTTCAATTTCCTTGGAAACCACTTTAACTATTCAAATTCTATGATTAGCGTAAAGTCCTTTCACGTAATTCATTACTAATTGCCGCTTTTGTCGGTTTCACAGTAAAAAAAAAAAAAACACTTTTAGAAACTCCTAGGGTTAGTTTTGCCTTTTGAGTGATAAAGTGTGAACAACAAAACGAGCCCACAAAAAGTGTAAGGTACAACCCTTTTCTCTTTTTGCTTTAGTTTGGCATTGTTGCCATCGTTGTGTAGAGGAATTTGCTTAAGTTGTTGTCTGAGTTCTAAGACATTATTTTGGGTAAAGATTATTTGTGTCAATGTTATAATGAGTTTTAATTATCTCATCACTTTTAGTGTAACCTTATCCTTATTATGACAACATGGACATGAGTTATATGAAAAAAAATAAATCCAAACTTGCACATTAATGATGATACATTCATTCTTCATTATTGTTAATAATAAGATTTTAAAGGTGGAGAAAACTAAATAAACAATAAAATGTAATTTTATCCTATTAATTAATTAATTTTGAAAGTGAATGCTTAAACGACATAAATGAGCGACTCCGGAATGAATACATTAATTATTTGACAGACATTGAGGTCAAATCCTCCTATGGCATTGATTTAATCCGAACTATTTCACTTCAATTGGAATTGTGTGGTGAGAGAGAGAAAACAATGGGAGATAAGAGAAACACATTGATAATGAGAAGGTGGATTAGGATTAGGAATGTTTATGATTTTTTCATTGGATCTCTACAATAGGGATGACAAAGAAAATGTTGGAGTGAGAGAGATGAAAAAGAAAGAGTTGAGAGGAATGATGGGGTGAGTAAGGGTTTGGAGGTTTCTTGTTTTTTTTTATTATAATGAAAATTATTCAAATACTCTTGACCTTAAAACTTAGAATTCATGAAAATATTTTTGTCTACTAAAACCCGGTACACATTGCTAAAATATTACCACTGAAAAAACAACATACGCAAGTTAGCAAACCCTTATATTATAATATATATATCTATATAATATATATATTATATATTATATATATATATAATATAAAATTGTTGAAAATAGAAGAAAAACATTATAAATTAAATATCATCTAGCATATTTCACCAACTTTTGAGTAAAATATTTGAAAATAGAAATATCTAATAAAAAGGATCCTATATGAACCAAAGTTGAACATGTGTAACATTTTGGTAACTTTTGAGACATAATATATATCTAAATACTTTTCTTCATAATAAAAAATATATCTAAAACATTTTCTTTAAATTCAAGCGCATTGAAGAAATAACTAAGATGCCGAGGAGTTTGATAGCATCGCACAAACAGACGCTTGGACGTATCTTTTCTCCCACTCCCAGGATCAAAATCCATTTGGCATTTCCGAATGAAGTAAAATCTCTTTTTCCTAAATTATTTACTATTATTAAAGTGTGTTTAGTGACCACCAATAATTTGAGCGAGTAGGTTGTTTCATGTGCAAGAAAGCTCACAGCCTGGGCATCATGTTCAAAATATTTTTACATTGCTTTCATCCGATCTTAACTAAGAATGTGGTCACACACTAAAACCCTTCCTTTTTATTCATTCAACAATTCTGTATCAGAATGATTGTCTTCTTTCTCTCCTTCAACCTTTGTTGTTGTGGACATCCTCAAACACATGCACTAATACACCTACGCTTTGGTTGCTAATAATGTTCATTACACAAACATAATAAATGTTTTTCTCATAATCATCAAACACATTCCATATAATAAGGCTTCTCTTTTCTACCCTGTAATAAATCCAGCCAAAGAGGATTTCGTTTCAACACTTATGCCTTACATTTTTCTTAATTCCGTATATTTCCTTCTACTAATACTTTCCAACCCCAACAACCAAACATTCAAACCATTATTTTCTATGTTGCTCAAAGCCTCAAACACATACTTGCATGTCAAGAAAACCTACTCATCATTCATCATTCATCATT